GTTGCCATTTAGCAAAATGTAAGATATCTCTCAATTTTAATCAACTACACTGGTTATCATACATTAAGGAAAAATCACAAAAATAGCGATAACTCCCTCAAAAATAAGCCAATCTGTGTAAAATTTGAATATGTTCCCAAGTAAGAGTAGCTGAGTAAAACTGCGATATACAAATTAATGCGCTGCTTTCGGAATACGTCATCTGCGAGGAGCATAAAAGTCCATGTTTGAGAGCAAGCCCACATATTTCACTGTGACAGTGACATCAGAAATCTGAGATAGCCATTCGTAACAATGACTTTCCAGGCATCATTTGCCTGCAGAACTGCGATGGAGAGCCATTGGGAGACTAGAGGCAGGACAAAGTCAAACAGAAGTGGCCAGATGGCTAAATGTGAGTCCTTCTGTGGTTCATAGACTTTGGAGGCAATTTCAAACCACAGATTCGGCATCTAAGGAGGTTCAGCCAAGGACGGCCAACTGCTACGACGAGCGCCGATGACCGATATTTGACATTATGTGCACGCAGGAATAGAACCGCTACTCCGACTCTTCTTAGATCCTCCCTTGCTGCAGCCACCGGAAGGTTGGTGTCAACGTCAACTGTGCGTAGAAGGCTTCACGAAGGTGGTCTGTATGCGAGGCGACCAGCCATTTGTGTGCCGCTCACGTCACGCCATAGGAGGGACCGTTTTCAGTGGGCACGACAACATGTCCACTGGACGCCTGATCAGTGGAGGGCGGTTCTCTTTACGGATGAGTCCAGGTTTAGTCTAGAAAGCGATAGTAGGCGTTATTTGATATGGAGAGAACCTAGAACCCGTTATCATCCGTCAAACATCCGTGAAAGAGATGCATACGGAAGGGGCAGTGTCTGTGTTTGGGGTGGCATCTCTTTGGGTGGACGCACAGACCTCCATGTCTTTCCAAGGGGAACCGTGAATGCTCAGATTTATAGAGATGACATCCTTGATGTTTATGTGTGCCCATATGCCGGGGCAATAGGTGATGCTTTCCTGTTACAGGACGACAACGAAAGACCACACAGGGCTCGCATCGTAGATGATTATCTTCAACAGGAAACAATTATGCGCATGGAGTGGCCAGCTCGATCCCCGGACTTGAATCCTATCGAGCACGTTTGGATTGCTTTAGGGAGACATCTAGCTGCTCTCAATCTGCCCCCTCAGACCCTTGTTGCGCTTGCAACTGCTTTGCAAGAGCAATGGCTCTCGCTTCCTATGGAACTGATAGACCGCATAATTGAAAGCATCACACATCGCTGTATGTGCTGTATTGCTTCTAGAGGCGATCATATTCCATATTGAAGGTACTTTTTCTATAGCAAACTGACACCTTCGATTTGTTTATTTTATACATTTGCTAATTTCTATACTACCATATTTGTCTGGTAATTTCTTTTTATGTTATTTGATACCTTACTATGTGTTGTATATTGCGGGTAAGTTTCATTAAATTCTACATGTAACTTTTTCAGTAATCGTGATTTTTCCTTAATTTATGATAACCAGTGTAGTTCGGATACTGGAAAGCAATGTATTGCCACTGTCACAAAACTCCACGCACCAGCCAGTTGCCATTCAGTAAAGCGTAAGATATTTAAATTTCAGATTTAATCTTTTTGTTACTGAGTAGCAGACTAAGTGACCGAAAAGTAATACATGCAAATTCTTAAAAATAGTTTTTCTACTTTTTATTCTGTAAAAAAAATGCATATAAATCACGAGATGTCTAATATCTGTGCGCGTCTATACTATTAAAATCGGTGCGGGTCTGTCTGTTTCTTTGTAACATCATTTCGTCCTTTACCTTGAAATATAAAAGATTTAAAAAATAAAGAAAAAAGTAAATTTGAAAAGTTTCAGATGTCAGCCTCGCACCAGAGGATTTGTTAAGGTTTTTCATGCTCTCGCTGAGTAGTACACTGCTCTTAGACTCACTCCCGTTAACACAATTTTTTCTGCCTTCTTTGCACTTGCACCACATAAAATTCAAGAGCAAAATCACAAAATATTTAAAAACAATTTATGTTTAGAATTTCCGGCAGAGTATTAGGGATTGCTATATATTCTTTTTACATTGACTATACTATTTCTTTGAAAACTATTGTTTCTAAGAACTGCGTTTATTGCTTTTCAATCACTTGGTTTTCTACTCCACAGAAAGATCAAATTTGAAAGTTAAATATCATACGCTTTACTAAATGGCAACATGATGGTGCGTGGAGATAATAAGTATTCCGTTTGAGGTATCTGCTTTTCAACAGCCGAATAAAATTATTTTATTTCCGCCAGAGATAAAAATATTTTATTTCGAGCAGTGTTGCTACTTCTCGATTTTAAATAGCCGAGTTTGTTAATTAAAAATTCGTTAAATTTATGCAGAATAAATATGAAATAAATCAAAACCGAATTCGAAAGCAAAAATCTGGCTTTCGAAGTATCCATGTTCAGGTGAAGGACTACGCGTATTAAAATTTACGCAGAATAAATATGAAATAAATCAAAACCGAATTCGAAAGCAAAAATCTGGTTTTCGAAGTGTCCATGTTCGGGTGTAGGACTACGCGTATTAAAAATTCGGTGGTCATTTTCACAATGTACAGAACGTACATTTTTCATTATTGTTTTTTTAAGTACTACATGGCGATAAGATACAACGGCAACCATTTGAAAAGTGATTCGGACACAAAAGTGATACGAGTAAAAAGTGAGATTAAAGACTAACGAGCTCTCGTGTAGAATTCCCCAAAGTTCTTTTTCATTTTAGAATTAACAATTCAAATCATTTTTGCTACCCTTAACGCGATTTATATTTGTTACCATTTACAAAAATTATATTTTGAGTTCGAAATTAAATTAAACGGAATTGAACATTTTGAACATAAATTTTAAAGTCCAAAGGGGCAATTTGCACAGATGAACTATTAATTCGTTTTGGCATTTTGCGTTGATTCACTATACAGTGTCGGTTTACTTTTCAAATTGTTGCCACCAAATATTAGAGCCCTGTATTATATTTACAGAAATTAAATAATGACGAATCTGCATAAATATGTGTGTTTCTCCCAAACAACGGTACCTAGAGCCATCATTGGAATTTATTAACAAACTCGACGATTTAAAATCTTTATAAATACTTTGTGATAATGCTGTTGAATTGAATTTTATGGTTTAAGGGCGAAGAACATGATATTTAATAAATAAAGGTAACCCACAAAACGTTAAAAAAACGCCCCCTTTGGGCGTAATGTAAAATCTGAAAGCTCTCAGATTTTTTATTTTTAAATAACAAAACTCCTGCAATTTGAGTTTCAAAAGTCGGGAAATATTTATAGAATGAAGAAAAAAAAAAAAAAAAAAAAAAAATCCATTCTGAATTTTTAGTGTAATTTAGTTTAAATAATGATTTGAAACATAAAAGTAAAAAACATTAAGAGCAGGGATGTCTGTTCGGGTGTACTCCAACTGCGCTTGTTCCTACTCCCTTTTTTTATTTTTAATTCTTTTAGGAAGAATATCATTCAATTTTATTTTCCCCGAAGAATGCCATTCAATTTAAAATTCTTCAGAATTCTGGTTCATTTTGATATTAGTAAGAAGTAATATCAAATCAGTTTTGCAACCATTTAAAGAATTTAATTTGCTGTCATTTTCTCGGATTAAACTTTACTTTCAAATAAAATTTGAAGTAGAAACTCCTTTTTTTGAAATAATACTTATTTCCTTGCCATAAGACATAATTGCTTGTTGCCACTTTCTGATACTTAAATTTAACCGTTTGAGAAATGCAAAAAATGTTTCATTAATTATAAAATGAATTAAATGATTGATTATCCAAACGATCTATATAAAATTAGAGAGCAAACTGCCGATGATTTAAAAAAAATGCCTAATTAAATTTATGTTTTTACTTCTCAAAATTTCTGTCAATTTAGGAGGAGTTCATACATAAAATGGTATAGTGGTGGAAATTCTTCTATAAGTATTGAACGTAAGACCTTCTCCTAACTACCGTTGAAATGATTTCAACAATTTTTTTCCACTTTTATTTTTAATTTCCCACTGTAAGAGGATACTGCGACAATCAAAAAAGCCCTTTACAGAAACTTTTTTGCTTCTATGGAATGAAGTTTACACTTTTTTTTTGTCAAGAATGTCTAGTGAACATTGCATTTTTAGCTTTTTTAAGTTGTAAACCTTGGTTTATTTATTGCTACTACAAATGGATTTAAAACTTCGCAATTAGTTAATTTCTGCGTCTGCGTATTTTCTTTTGTCACTAACGATTTAACTTTAGACATATTAGAAACACCTTTAATACCTTTGATTTAATACCTTTTTATAATATTCTTTTGAATTCTTCTTTCCATGCAGAAGTAATGATGGACGGTTTTTCCCTTTCCGATTAATATCGTTGCTTAAAAATTTTAATGCCATGCATTTCACAATGTATTTAAATAACGGAATAGGAATATTTCTCTTCGAAAAGCGCAAAATGTTGCATTTTGAAAGAAGAATAAATTTAAAAATAGCAAAAGATATATCTAATTTCATATAATAAACTGTTGCCAAAAATTTTTATTCCAAAACATTTTTAAAAAAAATTCTTTATCGAAATCGCTCTAAAAATGAGTAAACATCCTCCATATTTAAAATCTTTGGTTCACCTACATAAATTGCCACAAAACATTGCGTCAGGGACCGCCAATTTGGGAAGACAGGCCTAAAGCACAAATTCTAAAAACATTAACAGGTGGAATACTTCCCCAAAAAAATTCACAGCAGTTCGAAACGTGTATAAAGTGAGAGACAAAAACTCAACTCTTAGCCAATTTAAGAAAACTCCACACCCCTCGGCTTCGGGCAAAAATTAACACAAAAAGGAAAACAAAAACAACGCTTCACGTGGGTAAACACGCGTGAAAAAAGAAAAACATCGCCCAAATATTAAACAAAACAAATAGGTTAAAATCTTACCTTTTTCATCCCGAATTGAAAAAACGGCAGATGCAAAGAGAAGGAATAATATTGCAGACGATATTTTTGTATCCATTCCGAAAAATTTTTCGAATAAACCTGTTAGAATCACTCCATGTTATGTCACAATTCATGCAGACAGAAGGCAGACACGCGTCTTGTTCGAATCCTACTTACGCAATGGTACACTCGCCTCGGAGCGTCTTCTCGCTACCTCCCACGGAGCTATGGGAGCTTGAGGCGCTTTCTATTGGTCGCTCCCTCGCCCGAAAGTCTTGTTAGACAGGGTTGCCATATTTAGCGCAGTTATCTTTTTTTGTGTGTTTAAAAAAAGCATTTTCATTCGCGCATTGTGTTTTTACCTTGACGAATGAGCAAAAAATAAATAAAATGATAAATAAAAATGTTTTTCAAAGCGAACAAAAATTTACGTATCTAGAAAAGTTACCATTAAAAATATTTTTTTAATTAAAAAAATTTAAAATGGGCTTATTTTTAATTAAAAATAAAATAATCAGCTTCCAGTTCTTTTCAAGGTTCGCAAACTATTGGAACTGTAAGAACAACACTCGTTTCTATTTTTTTTTTTTTTTTTTTTGTTACTAAAAAGAGTTTTTCCAAAATTTGAGTTGAAAGGTGTTTAACGATTTTCTAGAAGAGGAAGTGAAAGATATGATGAAAAGGGAGCAAAAATTTTGAATTCTTCTTCAAGATTCGAGGGCTACTGACGTGTGCCACAGCAATGTTCTTTTCTAATTCTATGGAACGTCAATAAAACTAATTTTTCTATTCGGTTAAAATGTTAACGATTTTTACTTTCTTGTACGAAGTAATGTAATCACGAAAAATTTTGGGTATCATATTTCAACAGAAATATCAATTTTGAGTGCTTTCGAATCCATCTGAACGATTATTTTGAACGATTACGACATCTGTACGTACGAACAGAATAAAGGATTCTTTTACAAAAAGGATTGTCAAACGGATTTAAAATGGATTCAGAAGGAATTTTTTCGTACGTATACCCATATATATGTATCTCGAATAACTCAACAACTATTACCCGTTAGACGTTGAAATTTTGTCTATGGAATTGCTATAGCATCTAGTTCTGCATCTCCCTTTCTTTGTTGAAAATCGGCAGCACCAAGCATGCATATATATGTATGTTAAATATATAATATGTAAGATATAGCAAAATACGATAGCTGCTTTAAAAAATACTTAGCGACTTAAACTAACGATTCTTAGATTTGGTGCTCTCCCCCTAAATTCTTCTGTTCTCCCAAATTCGAGATCCTTCTATGTTATGGAACAACCTCAAATTAACCAATCTACAATTACATTAGACTTAGTATAAATACTGCTGGCGAATTAATTACGTCATTCTTCCTTTCCCTAACTGTTGTTATGTCAACATCGCATCGCGTTACCTTTGCCTAACTGCCTACGTTATTTCTTTTTAAAAGCCAATGTACATAGAAATTTATCATATTTCATTTATGATTGAATCATAGAAATGTATCAGATTTCATTATGATTGAATAAATATCTAACGAGATGATTTCATAAGCATGGAAATATAAAGACTGGGAATTCGTCTAATTCATTTTTGTGTCGGCGTCATCTGATATATATATACATATCCACCCTCTTACCAGACTCAGTGAGCTCTGTTTTTTAATTCTTATACGCTGGTAAATTGTACAATTTTTTGCCTTAAGAATGAGTCAGTTACGTTCATTTGTTCTTATGTTCAGGTTAAAGATTTTATGCCTTTAATTAACCTTCATGACAGATTTAAAAGTGGGGCTAGGCCTAATGTGGCGGCTACTTGTTTACATTTGAAACTATTAGCAGTATGGTAAATTAGTCAATTGGTGCACAAACTTCAGTGCAGTTTTGCCCATTGGGAAAAGCGGTTAAATTAAAATTTTTGAGCACTTGCTCGTTGACCGAATTGCTTCTTTTTGTGCAAAAACTCTAGTTTTAATTCCAAAAATTATTTTTGCAGATGTTTTTATAATTGGATTTGGTGCTTTAGATTTTTCTGTATTTTACAATAATTTAATGAAGATGTTTTGAGGTTTTATTTAATTTTGCCTTGCTGCGAAGGGAGAACTGAATGGACTGAATGAGAAATAGTATATCGCTAATGAAATTTGAGGAAATAAGTTTAAATAAAGAGCAACAGTAAATGTTATAATTTAATAGTTGTAATTTAATATTATAATTTAATAGGCAAAGGAAGTCGTGTGCTGTACACATCAGATTTTTTAGATTCGGAACCGAAAGACTTGAATTATGAAAACAGCGAAAAATTTTGAAATATCAAATCTTTTCCCAAAATTCTGGGACCACAAAATTTGCGACAATACCTTTTCTTTTTAATAAACATAAAAAAGTTTTGATTTAAAATGTTTATTGGTACTTTAGATTAGGATTCGAAAGACTGGAATCTCGAACCTTTTCCCACCTTCTGTGGGCCATAACATTTGCAACAATAACTTTCTCTTTTAATAAACGTGGAAAAGTTTTCATATTGAACGTTTAACGGTACTTTAGATCAGGGTTCCGCAACCGGTGTGCCGCGACACACTGGTGTGCCATGAGTAGGATATAGGTGTGCCGCAATCAAATACATGTATTTGACATTTTGCAATTTTTTATCATGTATTTAATACACATGACAATTTTTTCCCTTAATAATGTCTATTTAAATGTTTTATATATTTCACTGTTGTTCTGTGTGGGTTCTGTGTGTGATTGTAAGTGGTCAGCATTGAATTTTTCGGCACTTCCTTGATAACTCGGAACTCTTGGGTGCCACGAAATTCCAGAAAGATTTTTGTGCGTCGCAGGTGAGAAAAGGTTGCGGAGCACTGCTTTAGATTACGATTCAAAAGATTCGAATGACTAAAACAAAAGTGAGAAAATGTTTGAATCTCGAATATTTTCCAAAATTGTTGTCGCAGAATTTGCAACAATAATTTCCTTTTCTAATGAACGACAAAAAGTTTTGATTAAAATATTTCAAAGTACAGTAGAACTCCAATTATTCCAATCAACTGAGACAGAACAACTGGCGGCCATTGCTTGTTTACATTTGAAACAGCAGAGTAGTGGATTTGTTGCCAATCTAGAGAAACGTAGCTTCGCAACAACAAAGATAACGCATTCATTTATTATTGCCAATTAAACATGCTTATTCTTTCTGGAATTATTTCGAGGAATAAGTGTTAAGATACTTCGTAATTTTTAATATAGATATTTTGAGTTTTTATTTTTGCCTTTCGTAAAGTGAGAACTGAATTAATTGAATGAGAAATACTCATCGTCTGTGAAAATGTTTCTTTTTTGTTTTATTTGCTTAATCTTTTATACATCTTTAACTTTTATAGTATTGAATAGAACATGTGGCAACGATACATAATTCTATTCTTTAAATGATATAAATTTTGTGGAAATATGGTTAAATATAAAAAATATAATCTGTTAATGAATCTAGCGCAGAGTGTGCTGTGTAAACAATACGAGTGAATTTAAAGAAGCATTATTCTATTGTGGTTTATGCGCTGTCGGTGAAGTAGATTTAATCCAATAAGTTTAAATGAAATGTAAGAAAACAAGCGTATTTATTAATAAAATTAGCAATTTTATTAATAAAAGTCGAATTACGACTTTTTATTAATAAATTGCTATTTTTTCCAATTTCAACTCCTTTCGGCCAGAAAAGCACTCTCTTAGAAGTTAGCCATTTTGTTTTGAGCTTCACAGTTTTGAACAAGATGCCATCTTGTTAAAAATAGCCAATATCATTCACCTCCTTACACCCCCATCTAAAAATACAAGTTTTCCCCCACCCTTTGGCCGTTGCTTACCATTGGCCATTGCTTATTTACGTCAGTTTTCCCATTCTACGTAGCTTCACAGCACTGGAGAAATTTAACTACTTTACTTTTCTGGTAACTCTCCTTTAGAATACACCTTTTTACTGCAACCCTTTGCAAGATTCTTTTATTTAAAAAGTTTATAATTTTCAGGCTAGAGTGGTATCCCTTAAAATTATGTAATTTTTGGTCTAATAGCTTTTTAGCGATTTATTTTAATTGTACATTTGCCTAACTAGTCTTTCTTGTATAGTGTTTCTTGTTTAATAGTAAGTTTTACATTTACAATTTAAATTACAGCTCCTCGATAGCTTTTTACTATTTTATTTTATTGTACATTTGCCTAACTGCTTTCTTGAAAACTTTTATTTGTTATTAGTAGTTTTACATTTACAATTTAAATTACGCGTGTCGGGAAAGGGCGATATAATGGACTTACTAACTTTTTGATTATTAATTGGATATTATATTAGTGAATAGTGAATTACTTTATAGTCTCATTATTATCGTTGACGAAACGCGCTTGGGTTATTAGCTGATTCGAATTTGAGCTGCTTTTTTCTTGTAAATCCTGCTCAAATCGAGTGAGCTATTTACCATTATTGCAGTATTTTAACATATTACTGTGTTTGAAACGTATTTACTTTTTAAAAGATTCTTTTAAAATGTTTCGTCGTTAAAATTTCTGTTTTTTTTCTCACACTTTTTGATTTTGATGCATCTCGATTGTAATTTTTACATTTAGTTTTACGAGAAGCTTTACTACTTAATATTGTTCTAGTGTTACATGATTTACACTTTGCTACGGACTAGGGTGAATGGATTTTTTAAGCTACCTTTTACATTCCTGATAAATTTAAATTTTGCACCAATGCGCAATTCTGACACTAAGGTCTCTCTAATTCATGTTGTGTTGCTACTTTTATGTATATTAATAAAATATTTTATTAAAATTCAACATATTAATTTTTCATAAGATTTAAATGAATCTTGGTTTATTTTCTTCATAAACTAGTTAATTTTACAGACAATTTGCAGCCTCCTAAGGTTGCCACACCGGGCAGGGGCCCGGCTTGCCCGCCCCTAGCGCCGGCCCTGATCCAGGAATTTTCAAAAGAATGTTTCTTAATCCTCAAGTGTCACCTCCTCCTGTCTCTTGCCTTTCCTTTTCTTGAGCTCCCTTTTTTTCCTTTTCCTTCTCTTCTTCAGTTTGTAGAGTCATTAGGATTTTATTCGGAAGCAGGAGAAATGAAAAATGGTGTCTTCCTGTTTGCGCGATTCCTGTTTGCGCGAAA